GTGCGTACGAAAAACGCAACAGTGGAAATCAGCCTTTAGGCTCGGATAGGCTGGAATACGAGCCTACTTTTAAGAGGGTCTGAATGGGGTTAACTGACTACTGACATTTGCCTGAATTTTTTACTGACAACTGACAAAATATCCCAACTAACAACTGAGAAATGATGAAAAAATGATGAGTTAGCATTTTGCAGTTACTGACTACTGACAGCTTGCAATATATCACACTGACAACTGACAACTGGCTTAAATTTTAGCTGACAACTGACACCCAAAGACCCCCATTAAGACCCTCTTTTAATTACACTGTGAGGCTACATTTGCAATATTACTCTATACCGGAAAGCGTTCCTTTCCGTATAGCGATGCGAAGAAGCATCTATCCGATACAGAATATACAACTTTCAGAAGCTGAGCGAAACAGTAGCTCTCCGTTGCAATAATTCCTCCGAAAATAGCGCTCCTAAAAGATATGGATAGGTGTGTTTTCACGTCGCTACGGAAAGCTCTCCGATAACAGTGTAAATGTAGTCTAAATCTCCGGATATGACGTCATCAGATGAATTTTCGCTGCAAAGAACAAAGGAAAACTCATTTGCAATTCACCTATTAAATGACGTCATTTCCGGAAACTTTGTGATGAAACGAGGGTTTTTTTGCTATTAAAGACAAGATATGACACATACGAAAATCGTATTTTGGGCTTAGTCGCATTTGAAAGATTCTAAGAAAATACGCTCGAGAAAATCAGTTTGCAATTACTTTCTATGAAAATGTTTATACAAACTGCTTTAAGATATTCTGCATTTCCAGGGAATGGTCGATCTTCTAAATGTGTCTCTAACTCACGAGCAAGCATGAAAACTCGTTCAAAAGTTTACGAAACCAGTGGGCCAACGAATCCAACAGATGGTCCAAATGATTCTAGGAAACGTCAACTAAGTAATGCTGATATAGCTTCGACCGAATCACACATCACACCTATGGTATGTCATATGAGTTTGAGGGTCTGTTCCATAGAAATGTTAGATATATGAGCCCATATACATACCGAGAAACTCGCCTGAGTGAGTTCTGCATGCCTCATATAAAATTTTGTGTTCATATGAGAAACGATCCTGGCTAGGTGAGATCTCATTCAAGTGGGATAAATTTTTCCATACGAAGGCTCTATCCCATGCACCTGACCAGGATCGACCTTTTTGCCCATTTTGATCAATAATATAGTATTGAATGGGCATATGGTTGGAAAATAGACCAAATACATTAATAGACCTAAACAAATATTTCGAAGAAGACGCCATGTTTACCGATACTATACCATGCTCATATAAAAATGCCCTATATGTAAGTTCCTTGAATGTTTGCATGGCCAAAAACCAATAATATATCGTTTTGGTTTGTGGAAACGCCTTGTATGTTTATTACTGCATTAAGCTGCATGTCGACCCGCGTAAGCCCGAATCTTCATCAGTGCTAATAAGATATGACTTGTTTAATTCACACGTCCCTTCGCGTCGTGTGTCGCATCAGCCACGTCATACCTGAAGGCCGTTTTCCACCAGGCGGAATTTTCCGCGCGGAGCGGAATTGCTCTTTGAGTTACATGGTTCTATAATTAACGCGCGCGCGTGCAAGACAAGGGAAGTTAATTTTGCGCAGTGAAGACAGCACGCCGCATACTGCCGCTAGACTTTCCCTCTTGATCTATAGTATTGTATTTTATGTGTGTAATGGTAAATTTACAGTTACATATGTATGTGTATATATATATAACCTAGGGTTAAACTTATCGGCTTTCGAACACCGGTCATTATGAGTCCCCGGCCACTTATCGAAACGGTGATCGTTAGATAGTATACTTCAAAATAAGGTTTCCGCCTTTATAACGTAGAGAAAACTATCCTAACACAAAACTAAACCCTAACCCTAATACTAACCCTCGCCCTAACCCTATTCTAACCCTAACCTAACCCTAACTTATTTTAAAAATTGATATAAAAACGGAAACCTTATTTTGAAGTATACTATCTAGCAATTGCCTTATCGAAAGCTTTACTTATCGAAAGCTTTGCAATATTAGATATACGCGGCGTTTTCCGCAAACCAGATATCTTATTACAGTATTAACAAATTAAATTATAATTTTGCTTGTTTGTTTTAAAATGCGTGCATTTGTTTTTACGTAATGGACCGCCGATCCATTACGGGAAAATAATGGTGAAAGTGCTTCTCAGCCAATCACAGTGCGTCATTTCACCGGAAGTGATGCTTGCCATATAATAAAACTCAGTGAGGCCAGAGTAAAACGTGAATGAGAGTTGAAAAGCGAGAGTTTGCATGAGAGTTTTCTAAACTCTCGTATATGCCCGGTCAAAGGATTGCATGAGAGTTGATGACTGGATATTACAGCGCGATAGAGAAAACTCTTTCAACTCTCATTAAAATTTGAAACAGTTCAAAGTCAATGAGAGTTGACGAGAGTGCACGAAAGTCGATGCGAGTTGGCCATAGAAATAATAGACATAGAATGCGCGCTGATGACGAATCATGTCTCCACTTTTTCACCGTGCGTGCCCTTTTTTTGGATGCGCCATTTTGAATTTTGGCCAGGAGTCTGGAGTCACCGCAGGAGTCTGGACCGAGTAAAAATGCCCTTTTCAATGCGACATTTTGTGGACACAAAGTTTTGACTGAAGCGAGATAGGAGCACGCATTCTATGTCTATTATTTCTATGGAGTTGGCGGCGGTCAAATGCGAGCGAGCGTTGCAAGTCTCATCTTCGTTCCGCCGACGCTTAACAGTGAAGTATATATTTCGTACGTCACAGGCAAATATTAAGTACAGCTTTTATTACTAATATTCGCAGTGTAATGATTGTTATGATCATGGCAAGGAAGCCTAAAAAACAGAAGCCTTGGGCTTATATCGTTTAAAGAAAAGCCGAAAGATGTAAATATCTTGAAATCCAAGATATGAGCTAAAATTAGTGATCTTGGAACTTGAGTATCAGCAAAATTGTGCTTTTGATGATAAAATTTGGCATATAATGGCAGGGTATACTAATAATAATAATAATGGAAACTTTATTACTTTCTATAATATTTATATACAAACTACAATGATAAACCTCTCTTTACAGGTAGTTTACCAGTGTCTACTTGAATTAACACTCTACATAATAACAATATTAGTATGACATTAGTTGTGGGTTATCCCACTCTTTGTTACGCTTACAGAATATATAATACGAGGACCTGATACATATGTTAATAATTTTATAATAATAATATTTAAATTTATATTGCGCAAATTAACATGTTATAGTATATGATCAAATGCGCGTATACCATATAAGGACATTTTTTGGCTATAGAGGCATTACAGATTAGCTCTTGGTTGCCCGGCACAAAATATCTTATAAAAAAGTGAAATTTCAAAGTTCACATTTATCAGCAAATATCAGTTATATCGTTAGAAAGATCGCAAAACAACTATGTGAAGAACATTTAAGCGGGTAGTACGGTTTTCCAAGCCTATCCCCAACCTCGTCCCGAGGTATTGACGGTCAAAAACCGTTTTTAGCAGGTTTAACCTGAGGGGCGGACCATTAGAAAAGTGATGGGGGGGGGACTTTTTCAACTTGTACGAATATTTTTAAATTTGTTTGCTTGTGTCGATATTTTTTTTAAATATGATCCCTTACACGAATTTTTTTTATTTCAACTTATAATTTTCCCTATTGAAAAGAGTCTCTGCACGAATTTTTTTTTCAAACTTTCTTAGTGCACGAATTTTCTTTCTTTCTGTTTCCCCTGCTCGATTTTTATTTTTGCTTTTTCCCCCCCCCCCCATCACTTTTCTAATGAGCTCTCTAACCGATATAGGTGATATTTGCTAAAAGTGAACATTGAAATTTCACTTTTTATAAGATAGTACTTTAATAGCTGGTAAATGGTATCAAGAAAAACCAAATTTTGTGGCAACTAGGAGCTAATCTGTAGTACCCCCTATAGCCAAAAATGTCCTTAGTGTATATACCTAACATTATGCCAAGTTGCATGTGCTTTTATCTTCAAACGCACAGACAATTCCCATTATAGACTAATTTTAAAACTAGGCAAGGAGATGCAAATAAATCACCACAGCTAGTAAAATAAATCACACTATTAGTAAAATTACAAATAAATTACACAATTATTAAAATTACAAAGTTTGGTTGCGAAATGTTGTAAAATGCGGAAAATATAGCCTTGCAAAGTTCGCAAATTATTGTATTGCGTGCGGAAATTGTTACCACATTTGGGCCGAAAATGCCGGGTAGCAATTTCCGCACGCAATAGCCAATACAAAAGTATACAAAATTTGCAAACTTTGCAAGGCTATATTTTCCGCATTTTACAACATTTCGCAACCAAACTTTGTAATTTTACTCATTTGAGTATGCTCTTTCTAGCTGTGGTGATTTATTTGCATCTCCTTTCTATGTATTTTCCAACAATCTGCCCCACTATTAGGGACCAGTCATTATTTATGGGGCACCGAAGAGGAAAGGGTTGGGTAAACAAAATTTTGAGTGAGTAAAAGGTTGGCTAAATGAAAAACCAAACAATTCAACGGTTGGGTAATAAAAGTTTGTTGCCATTTCCGCAAAGAATCACTCATTCAAATATTGAAGACTAAAAAGCAATGTCAACAGTCATATCAATACAATATGTAAGTCAATCAGAGTCCCTATCTTGAACATTTTCCGCTTTGTCAAGAGGCAAATGGTGTCTCCAAAGATAACATGTGCAGACAACATGAAATTTTAGACTGCAGAAAATTGCACAAGCAGTAATCAAACTCATGTTACAGATTGAAGTGTTAAAGATCATGTGTAGCAACTGATTGGTATCCTTTTGTAAAGTTTTTGGCCAGGGGTGGGTATTTACTTTTAAATTGATATTTGAGGTTGGGTAAAAATATTTGTGACTTTACAATTGTTGGGTCAGCAAAATTTTTGCCATGGAAAACATTTCTCTTCCCCCCCCCCCCCCTCCCACGCCATAAATAATGACCTGTCCCTTCGAAGAAATGTGGGAAGCAATGTCTTTCAAGTTGCGTGAACGAAGATAACTAAACTTTGTTAAATAACGAGACGTTTTCCATGTTTTAGCTTGATAAAGATGCTTTAAGGTTGTTTGATGGAACAGACCTAGCTGGTGAAATATTTTGTGATGTAACAGACTTTACAAGGTACTAGATAGTTGTATTTTTTAGTGTTTGTATTGAATGATACTTAAACACCTTTACACTAGGCTTAGTATACAAGCTATCTACAAAGATAATAAGATAGAATGGCTCAGTATTTTTCGTACAAAAATATAGAAAACAAAACCAAAGCAATAATGCTTACAAGTTGGAAAGGTTTAATTCATTCATTCATTATTTCAATTTTAATAGTTTTATCTGGTTCTTCCATCCATAGCATTGAGTTGTTCGCGACTGGATATTTTTAAACGGAACTGTATATTTTTAAACGAAGCTATTTATTTAAATTAATCTTATTGTTGTTTACAGTTGTTGTTTGTGTGTGTGTTTATCTGTATATATGGATGTAGGCCTATATGGATTTTAATGTAACTGAATATGTTTGGCTTATAAACAATGTTAGTGTTTTTTACTCCAAGTTATTTTTTTACATTTTATTCAATAATAACGAGTATTTTTAAATGAACTTTTTACAAAACTAATAATTTAATTATAATTTAATACGTTTGTCACAATATTACAATTATTACAAAAACATAACATAACATGCATAAACATAGTGACAGGATTCCGTAACAGGATAAATCCCAACATGTGTTTGTTTTTTTTTCTTTTACAAAAAGCGCTAGACTATATTGCTGAGGCTGTTTCCTTAGAATTGCCGCTGGCCAATCCAGCGCCAGTCCCGCAGCTGCCTCCACAATACGGGTCCTCTTGGGAGAACAGTTAACATATATTACTGAATAGGGTTATTTTAATAAATAAAGCTTTACTAACACTATGCATCTTCCCTAGTCCAAACCTGCTGGCCGCGTGGCAGCCAGGAGACTGGAATCAGTGGAATGAACCTCTCAATTTCGACCTGTCGCCATTGTCACCGCCAGTGACCCCCAGACCCCAGAACGATACTCGACCACTGGACATTCCTCCCTTCGAAACATTTTACAATTCTCTGCCGAGTGAATCGACACTCCCGCTCGAGAACACGCAGTTATTCGAAGAGCTCATTTCGGGAAAGCGCTCAAAACGGGAGATGTCGAAGAAATGTCGAAAGGTTTATGGTATCGACAATAAGAAGTCCTGGTGTACCCAGTGTAGATGGAAGAAGGCCTGTACTCGATTTAATAGTTAAATTACTTATTATTATTAGCATGACAAAATTACTGGATGCTGATTGGTTGTACTGCAGTACATTAATTGTACTGCAGTACAATTAATGATTTTCCCAAAACAAACAAAATGGCGGAAAGCTATTTTAAACACAAACGTGAAATGAAATTGCCCTAGAGGAACTAGATGAAAATACGAACAATAGCACCGAAATTCGCTTTAACAAAAGAACTAAATGAAAATACAAACAAAAGCACAAAATTTTGGTTGAATCATGTCTGGCAGGACTGGGCTTTGGCGAGAGAATATGATGTTGACTTTGAGAAGTATCCAATTTTGTCATGCTAATAATAAACCAGTAATCATGCGATGTTGCTCGTACAATTAGGGATTAATAGTACTCGTGATGTTTAGAAATTTTGTCAATTTGGACTCGCCCCAGCGGCTCGTCCAATTTTGGCAAAATTTCCAAACATCACTCGTACTATTAATCCCTAATTGTACTCACCATCGCATGATTACCTATATTAATTAAAACTCCACTGTGATCCCACTGATTTGAAAACTCCACACGTAAAAACGCACAAGTTGTAACAAACCTGAAGCAGACTTGTAGCAATGCTGTTCCAACTGCTTGTCAACAGGTTGTGTTCGCACTGCTTGTTTCCAACTTGTTGACAAGTTGTCAACTTGTTACAAGGTTGTTGAACTCAACAGACTTGTTACAAGTTCTCCCAACAACTTGTTATCGTCGTGCAGTTCACTACAATTTATCAACAAGTTGTGAGTGACAAGCTTCTAGCAGCTTGATAAAATAACAGCATTTTGCAACTTGTCGACAAGCTTGCTACAAGCCTGTTGCGAACACATCTTGTTACCCTGGTTTCAGGGTTTATTTTTATTATTTCGTTGCGAGTGGGAGAGAAAAAATAAACCTCTGGTTGAAAGCGGCAATTGATTCATCGAGCCGCGCCAATCAGTTTGAATTAGGCTCAGATCCTGACTCTGTCTCCTGATTGGGTGATTGTATTAAAGCTCTCTGATTGATTCAAATAAAACATCTATAACCAATCAGAGAGCTTTAATACAATCATCCAATCAGGAGACAGAGTCAGGATCTGAGCCTAATTCAAACTGATTGGCGCGGCTCGATGAATCAATTGCCGCTTTCAACCAGAGGTTTATTTTAAACCTCTGGAACCTGGCAACATCTTGTTGACAAGTTGTGGGATTTTTACGTGTGTAAAAGAAGAGGTTCTTACAGTTTCTTGTTATCAGTGGGAAAGGGTAAACATTGTCTGTTCAGTATTAATTTTGAGATCAGTGGTTAGACCTAGTGAACTCGATGTACAGGGTGTATAATGAATGGACCTATTCCCTAATGAACAGAATTTTGATCTAGACAAAAATTTCATCACATCTTGAAAGAGCATCACAAAATTAGTAATATTCCGAAGTTTCGTTGCGAAATATTGTAAAATGCGGATAATATAGCCCTGCGAAGTTTGCCGTTTTTCAGTCATTTTGTATTACGCACGCGGGAAATTGATACCGCTTTCTGAAAAAAGGTATCAATTTCCTGTGCGTAATACAAAATGACTGAAAAACGGCAAACTTCGCAGGGCTATATTATCCGCATTTTACAACATTTCGCAACGAAACTTCGGAATATTACTAATATTGTGATGCTCTTTCAAGCTGTGATGAAATCTTTGTCCAGACTTGTCTAGATCAAAATTTTGTTCATCAGGGAATAGGTTCACAGGTAATCTAACTTTAACGTGCTCTTGTGTGCTCAATATTGAGTACGCAAATGTTTGTATCATATATGAATTTTGAACGTCTTATATTTTGTAAATTACAGTAGTGGCATTACGCTAGCCAGTAGTCTTGAATTGTCTTGTCTCCAAGGAATTTCCTTGGATTCTTGAGGTCCGAAAAATCAAGTATTTCTTCAGTCCTATACTTCCACTCGAGTGTGGAATACGAAGTTTAGGGACCGGTCATTATTTCTGGTTGCACCGAAGAGAACTAATGTTTTTCTCGATAAAAAATTTGCTCATCCAACCATTATTCATTAAAAAGTCCAAACAAAATTTACCCAACCGTAAATATCAATTAAAAAATAAATACCCACCCCTTGCCAAAAACTTTACAAAAGCATACCATTCAGTTGCCACACATGGCCTGGCATGAGTTTGATAACTGCTTGTGCAATTTTCTGCAGTCTAAAGTTTCATGTTGTCTGCACATGTACTTTCTTTGAAGATACCATTTGCCTCCTGACAAATCGGAAAGATAGTGACTCTGATTGATTTACACATATTAGTATTGACATGACTGCTTGACCAGGCATTTCCCGCCATAAATAATGACCGGTACGTTATTTCGAGGAGTTGATGGAGTTTAACTTTAAGTTGTTTAATTAACGGTAATTTAAACATTCTTCATGTAAAACCTTCCTATGTAAATTAACAATTTAGGACATGTAAAATTAGTTTTAAATAAAGAAGTGAATAGTTCTGTAGTTGTAATTGCATGACTGTTGTTGTATTTTAGAATTTAAAAACTAGCGATATCAAATGTATATTCATAGATGTATATTGCACCCGCCATTAAAACTCGGAAATATAGTAGTTGTTGTTTTGGGGGGGAGGGGTTGGGTGTTACAAACGCGACATTCCACCAAGCCATCGCAGGCTCAGGGTGCAAAAATATATCTAAAATTATGCCCACTTGATTTATACATCGATTAATCTATCAAACGAGTTCTTATTTATACACGTAACAGTTGATCCGTGCAATGATTGTGGGACAATTTTCGTTTATTAGCCCATACGCACGCCTATGAAATAAGGTTTATAATAAAATCTCTTAATTAATGTTTGTTATTTTCAGCTGTTCGCGTGACATAAAACTATGCATTTTCAGGAAGGTCGCGTAATTTTGAGAACGGGTATAATATCCCAGTTTGATATTGATAAAATAATTAAAAATTCAGACCTCGAAGAATTCAGAGCCTTATGACCTATCAAAGACTGCTTTCCCCAGCGACTAATAAAAGTAAATTTAACTTTAATAATTACTCCACATTACAGCATCTCAATAAATATACATGCAATAACACTATACCATAAACTGAAATATAAAATAATTCATCGTTTAAAAATTTCCTCTGAGAGTTCCCAAAATCCGTTCATAATACCTCGCCTTTTCAGTTAATTTTTCTTATGTTTGTTTAAAAGTACTTTAAAGTTAGTGACTGATGAAGCAGTTCTAACTCGGCAGCCTCTTCCCATACACAACTGGTCTACATTTAAATAAGTCCTGAAATACAGTTGTATTAACCCTATAGGTAATAGCAATAACTGCCTCCCTGAGACTCCAGTCGTATAAACATACTTTGTCCATATGACACAAAGTTATTTTTAATTTTAAACATCTTGATTAGGTCCCTCTTGTTCGTCTCTCCAACACACACAGTTCCAGAGAAAAAGCGTTGCTCTACGAAGAATTAGGGTAATTACTTCAATGACTTTAATCCGGAGAACTTAAATCTTGGAATATGACACCCTTGTATGGTCACAAAATATAAATTCGAATCTAAATTATTTCAACCAACATTTTTCCAAGTGCTCTTAAAGTGCCGGCAACGTCAAAAAAATGATTGTCTTAATTAAAGAACTTTCAAAATGATAAAGAATTGTACTTTTTTTAATTAATAAAGATTTTTCTTTAAAATAAAGGTTCCTTCTTCAGATATTCCAGTTTGTTTTATATATATAAACGTCCGCCATTTGTTTGATACATCCAAGAATGTTAATTATTATTGTTAAGTATCTTTGTGTCCGTGAAAAAGCCTAATTAAATTGTGTATACAGTATTATATAACATCTCAATTCTCAAAAATACACTTCGAATAAGGGTACCCCCCCCCCGCCCCATCTTCGGAGAAAGGTTAGCATATTTTGGGGATGAACCTATGTTTTGTAACAAGTGTGTTCTGTGTTGCTGTATAGTGAGATAAAATACAATAAATTTCGTTTCAGAGACTTTTGACCCATTACTGAAGTTACATTGCGCCCTAATGCGCCATACTTTATTGGTTAGATTATTTTACTTTGTCTAACGCCAGATTATTTTACTCTGTCTAACGCCAGATGATTGGCTGCATGTCACATAGCGAAGGAGCGCTGAGTACAGCTCTCTAGATATGATTATACATTATTCAGTGCATGCTGTACATGGGAAATCCAAAACAGGAAAATTTACGAATTTGTAAAGGGACCCAACTAGGTGATGAGGAATTGCAAAAGGCAGATCTTTTCGGGGAACCTGGGGGTCCTTTCCAGATAATAATACTCGTACTTTTTAGCCTCCAGAGGTTGATTTCTTGCATTTTCAGACACAATTTTTGATACATTCCATCTTGAAAGATTGAATATTAGGCCATATAAAATTCGATATAAGATTTGAAAGTGAAAACCGGCATAATTTATTGTCTTCCTTGTGCTTATCGTGCTTTTGAATAATTTAAACATAATTTGTGATATATGTAGTTGAATATTAAAGAAAATCAGGACTGCACAAAATCTCATAATTCTCATTTAATATCACTGCACAAATTGGGTATCACTGCATGCACTTTAAAATAATCCCTGACTTCATGGCTTGGGGATCGGTCATTAATAATGGGAGGAGGGGGAGGGGGACGGTTGGGTGATAAATACCAAATATTGAACATTTTTTAGAACCTCCCCCAATCGCAAGACCTTTATTTTCAAGATGCTCCCACCTTCATCTAGAAAACTTAGGACCCACCCCCAACATTTAATTCGTTACATTTTTTGGTGTAAAATATATAAGTAATGGGACAAGTACTGGGGACCAATATTCAAAATGGTTGTTGTTTACTCCGACTTTTATGGTGAACTGCATATACGTAATAAACTATGGTAACTACGATTATAGGAACTAAAAAAGGTTTAAATATTTCGAAAATGAGTGGGAAAGTATTAAAAAATTGGGATCGCCCCTTGTCACATATTTTTCAGTTTGAGGCCGCCCCCAATTCAGGCAAAAATAATTGAAGCCGCCCCCCTTTTCTCACCCACCGTCCCCCCCCCTATTATTAATGACCGGCCCTTAAAATTCAGAATTATTTTCTCGATGCCCAGCTCCCAGAACATGTACCGTGTTGCAATTCGGAAAAGGATATGATACGCAAACGTTTCTTTTAAGTCGTTAATTTGGTAATTTCTGTACATTTACATATCAAACAAACTTCAAAATAGGTTGTTTTTTTTACTATTTCACATTAAATTATTTTACATTATTCTAAAAGTTCCTTGAAAAAAGATGGTAAAAAGTGAGGTTAGCGACCGGTCATTATTTATGGCGAGGGGTGGCACCGAAGAGAAATGTTTTTCATGGTAAAAATTTTGCTGATCAATCATTAAAAAGCCAAATATGTTTGTTACCCAACTCCAACCCCTGGCCAAAAACTTTATCACACATGTACTTTGCCATTTCTGTGACACGAGTTTGATATATAAACTGCTTGTGCAAGTTTCTGTAGTTTAGGGACTGGTCATAATTTATCAGGGGGTGGGGAGGTGTAATTCAAAATTTTAAGGAATGATATTTTGTGACCCTGCTTTGCCATAACCCGGAAAAATAATGC